AAGGCCTCCACCGGACTGAGTCCAGTACAGCTAGATGGTGCCTGGCTACCACCACTGACTGCTCTGACCAGGATCACAACAGAGGGTTCTCGACAGATGGAGAAGAATATAGAACAAAATTCTAACTCACAAAACAAAAGACCAGATTTACTGGCCTAAAGGAGACTGGAGAAACCCCAAGAGTATGGCCCCTAGACACCCTTTTAGCTCAGTGGTGAAGTCACCTCTGAGGTTCACCATTCAGCCTGGGTGTGGACAGCCCCATAAAACCAAATGAGACTAATGAGGTACAGCAGTCCAGTGATAAGGGCCAGAAGGCAGAAGGGGACAAGGAAGCTGGTGATAGGGAACCCAAAGTTGAGTAAGGATATTGTTGATGTGTTGTGAGGTTGTTAACCACTGTCATATAGGGCAACATGTGTGCTGTTAAATGAGAAAATATTTTGTTCTGTAAGCCTTCATCTAAAGTGAGAATAACAGCACAACTGGAAGAATGTAGTCGATGTCACTGAACTGTGCATGTAGAAATTTTTGAAATGGTGTACCTTTGGCTATGTATATTTTCACCAAAAAAAAAAAAAGGTCGAAAAGGGAGAGGGCTGACATGTTGTGGGGTTGTTAACCAATGTCATAAAACAATATGTACACTACTGTTTCATGAGACAGTATTCGTTCTGTAAGCCTTCACCTGAAGTACAACGGGGGGAAAAAAAAATGACAGTCAAACACTGGCAAAAAAAAATGCAGAAACTGAAGATTTTTACCAATTTCTGCAGTTTGAAATTGATCCAATATGCAATCCGGATGTATTCATAATTACTGGTGATTGGAATGCGAATCCTGGAAACAAAGAAGGAGGATATGGCCTTGGTGATATAAATGATGCTGGAGATCAAATGACAGAATTTTGCAAGATTAACGACATCTTCTTTGCAAATACCGTTTTTCAACAACATAAAGGGCAACTATACAACGTGGATCTCGCAATACACAAAAAACAAATCAAATATATCTGGGGAAAGAGATGATGGAAAAGCTCAGTATCTTCAGTCAGAACAAGGCCAGGGGCCAACTGTGAAACAGACCATCATTTGCTCATATGCAAATTCAAGCTGAAGAAAACTAGAGCAAGTCCAGGAGAGCCGAAGTACAACCTTGAGTATATCCCACCTGAATTTGGAAACCATCTCAAAAATAGGTTTGACACATTGAACACTAACGACCAAAGACCACACAAGTTGAGGAATGACATCAAGGACATCATACATGAAGAACGCAAGAGATCATTAAAAATACAGGAAAGAAAGGAAAGACCAAAATGGATACTTGAAGAGACTCTGAAACTTACCCTAAATATCCAGTAGCTAAAGCAGATAGAAGAAATGAAGTAAAAGAGCCACACATAAGATTTCAAAGGGCGGCTTGAGAAAACAGAAGTATCACAATGACATGTGCAAAGACCCGGAGATAGAAAACCAAAAGCGAAGAACACGCTCGGCATTTCTCAGGCCAAAAGAACTGAAGAAAAATTTCAAGAACGTTAGGAATTTATTAACGCAGAGAGACAATTTTTGGCTCAAGCAACTGGAACAATGGTGTTGACACCTGACAAAATGAAAATGAGCAAAAGGAATACTTTTAAGGCTAAGGGGTGGAGAGAAGTTCAGAAGTGGAGGTTTGGCCTGGTTATTCTGAGATGTCTATAAGACAACCAAAGAAGCCCTGGTGGCACAGTGGGTAAGTGCTCGGCTGCTAACTGAAGGGTCAGCAGTTTGAAACCACCAACTGTTCTGCAGGAGAAAGATGTGGCAGTCTGCTTTTGTAAAGATTACTGGCTTGGAAACCCTATGGGGCAGTTCTACTCTGTCCAACAGGGTCGCTATGAGTCGGAATCGACTCAACAACAATGGATTATATGACAACCAAATGGATATGTTGACTGTAAAAGTATGGAGTTCTGGAAAAAGTGATGAACTGGAAGTATAATTTACAGTGATCAACACATAAAAGGCATATAAACTCATGAGAGTACATGAAATAATCCAAAGAATATTAATAGTGAAGAGAACACAGGTCTGAAAACCAAGCTATTTAGAACAGTATCAAAAAAAATATGAAATAGCTAACATTAAATCTGAAAAAAGGAGTGAAAAGCCTGTATAGTTAAAACTATAAAACATTGCTAAGAGAAAGTAAAGACGACCTAAGTAACTGGAGAGAGCTAAACTTTGTTTACCGTTCAGAAGGCTCAACATTCTTCAGATGTTGCTTCTTTGTAAATTGATCTATAGATTCAACAGAATCCCAATCAAAATTCAAGTACATTTTTGGTAGAAACTGACAAGCTGTTTCTAAAATTCATATGAAATGTAAAGGACCTAGAATAGCCAAAACAACCCTGAAAAAGAACAAAATTATCAGGTAACACTATCTGATTTTAAGAATTATTATAAAGCTACATCAATCAAAATCATGTGGTACTGCTGTAGAGATGCCAAACAGAACAATGGAACCCAACACAGTCCAGAATAATTACACACATACACACACACACACCTGATTTTTGACAAAGGTACAAAGGCAGTGGACAGCCTTTTTAATAAACAATACTGGAATAATTGAGTGTTCATGTGCAAAAAAAACGAAGTTAGATCCATAACTCACATCACATATTAATAAAAAAAATTAACTCAAAATGGATTATATGTCTAAATGTAAAACTACAGAACTTCTAGAAGAAAATATAGGAGAAAATCTTTGTGTCCTTGTGTTAGACAAAGATTTCTTAGATAAATCACCAAAAGCACAATCAGTGAACTTCATCAAACTTAAAAATTTCTTCTCTTAAAAAGACATTCTTGTTGACACGTCACGGGGTTGGAAACCAATGTCACAAAACAATTTGTGTATTGTTTAATGAGAAACAAATTTGCTGTATGAACTTTCACCTAAAGGACAATAAATTAACACATACAGACATACATACGTACATAAAAATAAAGACACTCTTAATACAAGCTACTAGCTGGGAGAAAATCTTTGCAAAACAATTCCAATTTCAACCTCTGAATATGCAACCATATTGTTGCAAATTTTGACTATTAATGAAATGAGTATTAATCATAATACAATTTATTAGCCAAAATTCTACAATAATTACAGTATCTTAGAATTTAGTATCATTTCAGTAGCAAAATTTATAATTAACAGTATTATGACAAATTTCAACAAAAGCAATTGTTGTTTTTTACAAATACTACTGAATTTACTTCTGATCCATTAATTTACTTTAAGTGGTACATATATAAAAACAGAAAGCCTGTGAACATGTAAATACCTTTCTCAGAAGAACTGCACGTTGTCTTTACCATGGTAAATAACTAGTGCTTCAAAGATGCTGATCTAATATCAATTCTCATAAATTATGGCCTATTGATGTTCTATTGACCCCTTCTATAATTATCCAAGTAAAAATTTATACAGATACGTTGATATTCATTCATATTCCAAAAACTCAAATCTACTGTTTTTTAAAAAAAAAAAGAAAAGCATTAGCTCATAAACTGGTTAAAAGCAGAACAACTTTGCTTCCTCTGTAATTTGCCAAAGAAAACTCTCTAAGTTCAGGTGACATCTAGGTCAACTGGCATAACAAAGCTGATTAAGAAAATGTTCTGAATCCCACTTTGGTGAGTGGTATCTGGGCTCCTAAAAGCTTGCGAGTGACCATCTAAGATGCATCAACCGGTCCCAATCCACTTGGAGCAAAGGAGAATGAAGAACACCAAAGGCACGAGGAAAATATTAGCCCAAGGGACTAAAGGTCCACATAAACCAGAGACTCCATCTACTTGAGATCAAAAGAACTAGATGGTGCCCAGCTACCACCAATGACCGTCCTGACAGCGAATGCAACAGACAGTCCCAGACGGAGCAGGAGAAAACTGCGGAGCAGAACTCAAATTCACGTAAAAAGACCAGACCGAATGTTCTGACAGAGACTGGAGGAACCCCCAAAACTATGGCCCCCGGATGCTCTGTTAACCCAGAACTGAAACCATCCCCGAAGCCCAGTCTTCAAAGATTAGGCAGGACTATAAAACAAAAAATAATACATGTGAGGAACGTGCTTCTTAGTTCAATCAGATACACGAGACCAAATGGGTATTTTCTGTCCGGAGGCAGGCTAAGAAAGCAGGAAGGGACAGCAACTGATTGGACAGAGGGAACCCAGGGTGGAAAGCAGGAATGTGTTGTCACATTGTGGAGAATGCAACTAATGTCACAAAACAATGTGTATAAATTTTTCTGAGAAATTAACTTGAGCTATAAACTTTCACCTAAAGCATAAAAAAAAAAAAAAAGGAAAATCATAAAAATAAAAAAGCCATCTCTAAATAAGTACACTGAGCTTATAGTACAGTAGTATACTTTTCAGACCTAAAAATGAGACTTGAAACTGTGAATAGGCAACAGGGTGGAATGAAAAGGTAAGAATTGTGAAACCAAACTAATCTAGACTTGGATACTTGAGCCTGTTTTATCACCTGTAAAATGGGATTATTATCACTTAATTAACAAGGTCTCAGTTAAAAAACAAAAAACCTTGAACATGGGTAGTGAGCACTAACTATGCTCAGAACTGCTAGTTAACAGTTGGGGTCCAGCTGAAGCTAAAACCTAATTTTTGTAGTGGCACCAAGTTACACTGTTACATGATTTTTTTTCTCCCCTAGCACCACTAGCATCTAGAAGGTAAGTACAGAGACTGCATACAGCTTGATTAATCTCAAGTTAAGATTTTGCAAGACTGCTGTAAAAATGAAAAACACTGCAGCAAGGGATTAAATATTGCAAGAGAACAATTTTAACTGACAGACCAAGTTTCAGCTGTAGAAAGAAGTGAGATAATTTCGAAAATATAGAGGGTACATAGTAAAGATAAAACATGCACTGAATTTCATTCACTGAATACTATGTACTAAGTACTATAATAAAGAAAATAGTATAGCCTGAGACTTCCAAAAGCTGAGAAGCTAGAAAAGAAAATAAGACACACAAGGGCCATGGATCGTGGCCACATAATTTGTTACCCAAGCCAAAACATTTTCTTGAGTGAAAGGGGAGTTGGGGGCGTTATTATAAATTATGCTAGAGAAACAGTTGTAAACGTAGAGATTCTCAGGCAAACTGGGACATACAGGTCACCCCTGTGGTTACGTGCTACGGCTGCTAACCCAAAAGTCTGGCAGTTTGAATCCACCAGGCACTCCTTGGAAACTCTATGGGGTAGTTTTATTCTGTCCTTTGGGTCGCTATGAGTTGGAATCAACTTGACGGCAACGGGTTTGGTTTGGATTTTGTCAGAGACACTCTAGTTAAGACTGCAAACTTATAATAAGTGACTTGGGACAAGTAAATGAGAACTATGTAGAGTGAGGAAAAATTATGTCTAGAAAGTGAAATTTTCCTTTAGCTAAATCTGAACTAGTGACTCTAATTTTATATGGGTAATCTGGAGAAGAATGTTGTTACGTGACATCGAGTTGGCTCCAACTCATACTGACCTTAAATATAACAACGAAACTGCCCAGTCCTGCACCATCTTCATGATCATTTGGAGGTTTGAATCCATTGTTGTGGCAATTGTGTTAATCTATCTCACTGAGGATTTCCCTCATTTTCACCAACCCTCTACTTGACAAACCATGTTGTCCTTTTCTAGCAATTGGTCTTTCTTGGCGACATGCCGAAAGCAAAGCAAACTAAGTCTCGCCTTCCTCACTTCCAAGAAGCATTCTCGTCAT